GGCATTTCACTGTAGTTAATTAGGAGGGAAAAATGAAAAAAAATATGAAATAATAAGATTAATTAATAATAAATAAAATTAACAAAGAATCAAAAAATAAGAAATTATAATAAAAATAAAAAGGTAAACAAATCAAATAAATTAAAAGAGCTTTAATGTTTTAAATTAACTTTTATAATTAAAAATATTACAATGCAAATCAAATAAACTGCTTTTATTAAGTGTAAATTTTAATAGCAAAAAATGAAGAAAAAGTATCAAATAATAAAAAATGAATAATAAATAATTAATTAAAAATTTAAATGAAAATTAAGTTAAAATAGCTAAAAAATTTTTGTTTTAATAAAAATCATTAAATAATAATGATAATTTCTATAATAAAAATTATTTATTTAAATAAATTGAAAATTAAATATACAAAAAATATTAATAATAAAAAAAATAATATCTTTTAATTAAATATACTTGAGATCAATATGTAGAATCTAATGAGGTAAATGTGAAGAGCTTAAAAACTTTTTTTATAAATTAAAATAAATTTAAAGGATATTAATATAAAAATTAATAATTACTTCTTCTAATTAGTTATATTTTTTAATCTATTATATCATTTATTTATTTTTCAAAAATATTGAATAGCAATTTATTAAATTTGATTAATTTATTAATTAATTATAAATGGATAAAAAGAACAAATAAATATAATAATGAATTAATTATCAAATATAAATTTATAATTTGGTTTTATGAAGAGATATCACAGAAAAATTAATTTAACATTCACTATTTAAACTTAATATTTGTATTTAAAACAAACGCTTAAAAATATATATAGTAAGAATTAGAGATGGTCAGTTATTTATTTAGTCCTATTTGAAAAAATTCTAGTTGTTAATGTTCTTAAATTTTATAAGAATAACGTTTATAAGTAGATTTTTCTGTTTTAGTTTTGTAATTTTAGGAATATTTATAATATTTCTAATATAGCAAGATGCCATACAAAAATTTCATGGTTTGTATTCCACTTTTTATGAAATATATTTTTTTTTTATTTATTAAAAAATTTAATATATATATATATGTATTATAATAGAATTATAATTAATAAATAATTTAATTTATTTTTATTTCAAAATAATTCCAAATTATTTGATCATTTTTGGAGAATTCGGAGGGTTTGCTTAAGAGGATTTAATTTATTTAAGTAAATTTAATTTTTAAATTTTTTTATTTTTAATAAATAATTTATTTACTTACAAAAATATGAATGATATTTATAAATTGAAAATCAATAATAACATCTATAAATCTATTTATATTTTAGGTTAAAAATACTTTTTCAAAATATTAAATAATAAAATATATCATATTATTCAAACATTTTATATTGATTCATCATTTTTTCACCAGGTGTTTATCAGTAGATATATAAATTAAAGACAACTAATCTTTATGATTTAAGACACTTGCCTTTTACTTTGAATTTTTATGAAAATTCCATTGAGCTAAAAATTTTAAAATAAATCTGTGTAAATTTTAAATAAATATCAAAATAGAATAAACTTTTAAATTATAAATTATTCTTTAAATTAATAAATAAAATAATATTAGTGCAATAAAAAAGATAAAAAATAAGTCAAATAAAAGCTATCAAATAAATTCAAAGAAATTTTTTTTTATATTCATTTTTATAGTTTAAAATATCACAATTAAAAACAAATAAACTATTTTTACCCAAGGCTAAGTTCCAAATTTGAGAGATTAATGCATTTTGCTAAAGCTGAATCTAAGCCTGATGCACCTTCATCACCAATTTAATTTCCACTTTTTAAATATTGAAGAAAAAATATATGATTAAATAGTTAATTAGAAGGAAAAATGAAGAAAAATATGAAATAATAAAATTAATTAATAATAAAAACAAAAATTTAAAATAAATGATGAGATTAATTAACAAAGAAAAAACAAAACAGTAAGCACGATAAAAAGTAAAAGAAAAAAGAGCTTTATTGTTTTTAATTAGTTTTTATAATTAAAAATATCACAATCCAAAACAAATAAACTGTTTTTACTGAAGGTCAAGTGTCAAATTTGAGAGATTAATACATTTTGCTAAAGCTGAACCTAAGCCTGATGCACCTTCATCACCAATTTAATTTTACTTTTTAAATATTGAAGAAAAAATATATCATTAAATAGTTAATTAGAAGGAAAAAATGAAGAAAAAATATGAAATAATAAAATTAGTTAATAATAAAAACAAAAGTTTAAAATAAATAATGAACTTAATTAACAAAGAAAAAACAAAACAGCAATCACGATAAAAATAATAAGAAAAAAGAGCTTTATTGTTTTTAATTAGTTTTTATAATTAAAAATATCACAATCCCAAACAAATAAACTATTTTTACCCAAGGCTAAGTTCCAAATTTGAGAGATTAATGCATTTTGCTAAAGCTGAACCTAAGCCTGATGCACCTTCATCACCAATTTAATTTCCACTTTTTAAATATTGAAGAAAAAATATATGATTAAATAGTTAATTAGAAGGAAAAAATGAAGAAAAAATATGAAATAATAAAATTAATTAATAATAAAAGCAAATGTATAAAATAAATGATGAACTTAATTAACAAAGAAAAAACAAAACAGCAAGCACGATAAAAAGAAAAGAAAAAAGAGCTTTATTGTTTTTAATTATAAAAATATCACAATCCCAAACAAATAAACTATTTTTACCCAAGGCTAAGTTCCAAATTTGAGAGATTAATGCATTTTGCTAAAGCTGAACCTAAGCCTGATGCACCTTCATCACCAATTTCATTGTAACTTTTTAAATATTGAAGAAAAAATATATGATTAAATAGTTAATTAGAAGGAAAAAATGAAGAAAAAATATGAAATAATAAAATTAATTAATAATAAAAGCAAATGTATAAAATAAATGATGAACTTAATTAACAAAGAAAAAACAAAACAGCAAGCACGATAAAAAGAAAAGAAAAAAGAGCTTTATTGTTTTTAATTAGTTTTTAAAATTAAAAATATCACTATCCAAAATAAATAAACTGTTTTTACCAAAGATTAAGTTTCAAATTTGAGAGATTTATGCATTTTGCTAAAGCTGAACCTAAGCCTGATGCACCTTCATCACCAATCTAATTGCTACTTTTTAAATTTTGAAGAAAAAATATATCATTAAATAGTTAATTAGAAGGAAAAAATGAAGAATATTATGAAATAATAAAATTAATTAATAATAAAAACAAAAATTTAAAATAAATGATGAGCTTAATTAACAAAGAAAAAACAAAACAGCAAGCACAATAAAAAGAAAAAGAAAAAAGAGCTTTATTGTTTTTAATTAGTTTTTAAAATTAAAAATATCACTTTCCAAAATAAATAAACTGTTTTTACCAAAGATTAAGTTTCAAATTTGAGAGATTTATGCATTTTGCTAAAGCTGAACCTAAGCCTGATGCACCTTCATCACCAATCTAATTGCTACTTTTTAAATTTTGAAGAAAAAATATATCATTAAATAGTTAATTAGAAGGAAAAAATGAAGAATTTTATGAAATAATAAAATTAATTAATAATAAAAACAAAAATTTAAAATAAATGATGAGCTTAATTAACAAAGAAAAAACAAAACAGCAAGCACAATAAAAAGAAAAAGAAAAAAGAGCTTTATTGTTTTTAATTAGTTTTTATAATTAAAAATATCACAATCCAAAACAAATAAACTGTTTTTACCATAGGTTAAGTGTCAAATTTGAGAGATTAATGCATTTTTCTAAAGCTGAACCTAAGCCTGATGCACCCATTGCACCAATTTAATTGTAACTTTTTAAATATTGAAGAAAAATATATGATTAAATAGTTAATTAGAAGGAAAAAATGAAGAAAAAATATGAAATAATAAAATTAATTAATAATAAAAGCAAATGAATAAAATAAATGATGAGCTTAATTAACAAAGAAAAAACTAAACAGCAAGCACGATAAAAAGTAAAAGAAAAAAGAGCTTTATTGTTTTTAATTAGTTTTTATAATTAAAAATATCACTATCCAAAACAAATAAACTGTTTTTACAAAAGGTTAAGTGTCAAATTTGAGAGATTAATGCTTTTTTGCTAAAACTGAACCTAAGCCTGATGCACCGATTGCACCAATTTAATTGTAACTTTTTAAATATTGAAGAAAAAATATATGATTAAATAGTTAATTAGAAGGAAAAAATGAAGAAAAAATATGAAATAATAAAATTAATTAATAATAAAAACAAATTTATAAAATAAATGATGAGATTAATTAACAAAGAAAAAACAAAACAGTAAGCACGATAAAAAGTAAAAGAAAAAAGAGCTTTATTGTTTTTAATTAGTTTTTATAATTAAAAATATCACAATCCAAAACAAATAAACTGTTTTTACTGAAGGTCAAGTGTCAAATTTGAGAGATTAATGCATTTTGCTAAAGCTGAACCTAAGCCTGATGCACCTTCATCACCAATTTTATTGTTACTTTTTAAATATTGAAGAAAAAATATATGATTAAATAGTTAATTAGAAGGAAAAAATGAAGAAAAAATATGAAATAATAAAATTAATTAATAATAAAAGCAAATGTATAAAATAAATGATGAGCCTAATTAACAAAGAAAAAACAAAACAGCAATCACGATAAAAATAAAAGAAAAAAGAGCTTTATTGTTTTTAATTAGTTTTTATAATTAAAAATATCACAATCCAAAACAAATAAACTGTTTTTACCAAAGTTCAAGTGTCAAATTTGAGAGATTAATGCATTTTGCTAAAGCTGAACCTAAGCCTGATGCACCCATTGCACCAATTTAATTGTTACTTTTTAAATATTGAAGATAAAATATATCATAAAATA